CCTAGCAACAGCATAGCCGAGTCGTCTTTGTCGATCGAAATATTGCCATATGCAAGCTTCTTACATTGCGGCTCCCTTTAAATTTTTATCCATTTACTCTTTTTGAAACGCCCGACAATCTCACTGAAAGCGTTACCCGTTACGTAAAACTAAAATATTACATTTGCACTTGAGTGGGCCACGTCGATGCACAATAACGTTATGCTAATGCAATTCCTAGCATATCCAGTGAAAGCTAGCTCCGTTGTAATGAAATTAGAGTACCTCTACCTTAAAATAATGGCATTTTTCTAAAGGAGCTTCTTTTTAAGTAAAATGTTTTAATTGAGAAGTCAAATTCAACTACCTGTCTGAATAAAGATCATAAAAAGATCATCATTTCTCTTTAAAGATTGAATAAAATGCACAGAAAAATAAAATAATGTGAAAGCATTTATCTGGTGATATTTTATCTAGTGAGTAAGGTAAGGCATCCTTATAAAAGTTGTTGACGTACCTGATACCACGTGACCGAACTTCTATGGCGAGTCTGTAAGTCAGGGAGGCGGTCTGGCTTACAATATAGCGTAACGGTGAGTTGGTTTGTACCTTAGACAATCCATGCAATTTAGGGGGTTTTGCGGATGAAGGTGTCATCGATTTTACGTCCAAATTTAACTTTTCAGAGCATTTTTGATGAGGTACGCTAGTTGATTTAAGCGTTTTAGTGGTGGGATCTGTTTTGAATTTTTTGTACTTGCTTACATACAGAACAGATAAGTCTTTGTCGTCGCGTAAGTTGTTTTACCCGTTTATTTCGTCTTAAGGTGGGCAAGATTTCGGTATCGAACTTCGACGTGACAAAGATGAAATATCTTGCCATGTGCCCACTAAATCTTCCTTGCAAACAATGATAATAACATTCAGTCCAAAGCCTCAGTCTATCCCGTGACTATGAACGCTGATGATCGAAAAGTTAGGAAAGAAAATCAAAAAAATCGTTATAAATCCGTAAAATTAGTTTAATATAGTAATCGTGTAATCATGTAAATACAAGAAATTATCAAACTAAGAACAGAATAGAAGAAGCTAAGGAGATGAGGAGAATAGAAGAAGCTTATTTGACTATATGAAGTAAGTAATTAAGAAGTAAGTACTATGTTTGTGTTTGACGATCAAATAATTCTTAAAGAGTTTACAAAACATAATGTAGCATCACTTTAATCAGCGGTTAACACAATAAGTTACAAAGCGACCAAAGTAAGCTAGCACTGGCAAGCTGAAGTAATTGCTTTAGGCCCACCAACTCTCGACGTAGGCAACTTAATTATAAGCACATGAGATTATGCCTCGGCTTAAAACGCGGCTAATGCACTTTGCTGCTAAGTTCATGACATTAAGGAACTCAACATCATAATTGTATGTGGGCGTGCGTCCAGCTGATCCCCTCAACTTGACAATTAAAATTGCTTTAAAATTACTCGCGATAAACCAGGCTATACTACTACTAATATTTATTAAGGTGCCCGTGAGTTTCATCTTTGCGATTTGATTAAGATTTTCATCTATTTTAGTTTTTAATAAAATTTGATTAGCAATTATAAATGTTACTAAATATCTTTAATTGATAAACAGTTATCACTTAACATCAGGTGAACCACCAGCTCGCTTGCCACGTTCTCACATTAGAAACGATAATTTTCCATCAGCAAAGCTAAACAACATCGATTCGTTCTAATTCAATTTAGATATTAAATAAAATAGCAGTTAGTAAGGTCTTCGCCTTGGGGTGATACTGAGAAGCAATCAGTAAAGATTTGAGATATCTATTATATCTTAAATATGAATATTTGTATCTTACAGATAATGCTATACTAGCTATTATTAAACGAGTAAAATTTTACTATGCAATATTGATATAATACAAAGTAAACGTATTAAAATACACAATACACTCATACATATATACATACTAGGCTGAAAGCGTAACATTCAGACAGAAAGACAGATATACATAAAATATGTATATAAATTATAGCCTATGTGTTATTCTGATGTATAAGCTATATAATTGTAAAGTTTCATTAAAATGCATTCAGTAGTATTTGCGTGAAAGAGTAACAAACATCCATCCATACACAAAAACTTTCGCGTTTATAATATTAGTAAGGATAAAATACACATACTTTCATGCTAAACGACCTGGAAACCCTGCTGACAATGCTTTGAGTAAGTACTCGAGAGATTTTCTTTTAAATGCAATGCGACTTTAAGCTGTCTTGATTTTGAGAGACAAGATTTAGTTGTTCTAAATATAATAATAATAATATTGTAATATTTTTGACAGTTGTAAATTACGATGCAAGTTTTTTGGCGATCATGAACCAGGCCTGCATAGCAATTAGGGATATTATGGAACTCCGAAACCGGAACCGTAACTATGAGATATCCGAGGTAAAAATGATACAATTCAATTTATTAAAACAAACATTTACAAATATCGTCCATACCGTATGCTACAAAATTATGATAATCTAACCTAATTAAAACTAAATAGGTGATAAAATTATTACAATATAATAATAGTAATAATAAAATAAATATATAATATACAATAAAAAAAATCTAAACGAAACCGTAGCTGAATTCAACATCACCGTTCGAATAATTCCGGTAGGAATGTAAATTCGTCTGAATGAGAAATGTTTCGCCTGGCTGACACATTAGCCGAGTGAACATCTCAATGTAGATAAAATACGTGAAATTGTGGGTTGTTAAGGAAATAACTATAGATGCGCCAAGCATTGCTAAAAATGCGAAAAGGCACAATACGTTGAGATTTTTTTTTTCTACATATTTTAATGTTTAATCTTAAGTGCAAAGATTAGCACTATAAACAATTTAAATTTCTAATTTATACTTGCTCAGTTTCCGTTTCCTTAGTGAACTACCCTTTAAGTTTGGGAAGGGGCGTAACATTTTTATATTAAGTTACTTACTGTTTACTTCATATTGCACATGCTGGAAATTTTTTGAAATATAAAAACTTAACATTGTTTACATTACTACTGTTATACTACAGGTAGCGAATAAAAAAATATAAACAGAAGTCTCTAAAATATACGAGAGTAACATTTGTAATTCATTCGTGTTAAATCAATAGATCAAACTAACAAATGCTCAATAACTACGTTATGAAACAATGGGCGTTTAAATTCAATACGCATATATTTCAGACTCGATAAACTAAAGGGCCATTAATGAGTGACTATCGATTCAAAACACGAATATTAATCAAAGTTTAAACTTCTAAGACGTGAATAGTTTTACAATATCGATGAATAGTGGTCAGATCCGGCAAACTTCGGCCAAGTCTCGTATTGAATTTGCGATTGCTTACTATTGAAACACACTTTCGTCAAGAAAGTTGACGAAATTACCGTTAACGAAATGATCATTACATTCTGGCATAACCTTAAAATATACAACGTAAGTCAACTACTTAAACAGTAATAGAGTGATTTAATTAAAATCTCTCAGATTATATCTTTCACAACAGGTATTTTTTTTAGCATTAAGTATGTTATGTCGTGTTAAGTAGTGATTATCGTCGGGACGGTAATCATTTAACAACAAGAGGCTATTTAGCGGCCCAAATAATGAAATTTGATCTCAAAAAAAGTGGTCCGAATTGTAAATTGTCGCGAGGTGTCGATGTTCTAACAACACAATTTTCTTCCTTAGCTTTCTTATATATCAAAGATATGAGTTTAGAGTTCTCTCCTTAGAGTTTAAGTTTCGGCATTTGGGCCGTTAGATAGGCCGTGATTACGCCCCTTACGAACATCTGTTATTTCCTCATTTGAAGTTCTATATTATATCGCAAACACATTACGTAACACGGTACAAATCCAATCCCAAAGCGCAAAGAAAAAGCCCTATTTTCCCGTCATGAACGAGAATTATTTATGCAAATGGATATCTAAACGTATCCAGTCCATTACCGCATAGCCTTAAAACATCATAATTCCGCATCTCTCCGCTACTGGACATAGACGCCGTCTTTACTAATTCAATGTATTTATGGAATTTTATATGCAGCGCAATTTCCAAAACTGTAGAAACGTGTTATCACACAACTGATGCTGCCATCGCTAGCCATATAACCATTATCAAAGTTTAAACAGCTCTTCTAAAAGACTAGAAACATTGAACTAGAAGAAATTCCAAACGTTTAAAAGGATTTTTTTTTTTATTTCTATTCTTAAACTTGAGTTTTATGCACTTAGCTTTGTGTCACATCCACAGTGATTAATTAAAAGTTAGCGATGGGCGTTTTCTTGTATAACAGAATATCTAAACATTTCTATGTTTACATGTCATGTTAGCTCAGTACCTCGAGCACCTTTTTTTGTTTTTTGTTTTTGCAACATTGCCCCTACTTTAGGATAATATTATCCTGTGTTGTAAGGACGTTTTACAAACATAAATTTTACGCGGACAAACACCCAGATGCTAAACAATTATCCGTGGGTCACACAAATAGTTGTCCCGTGTGGGGATCGAACCCATGACCACCGACGCCGAAGCCAATACCTTGGCAACTGCGCAAACAACGGTGTCCAACGTTGTCGGTACTGATGAAATTTTTAAATATAGTTTAAAGTGAACTGTATGTAACGCTCGACAGTAACCTTAATACATCGTTAGGAGTCTTCACAAAGGAGACAAACTCGTTGATATGAGAATGATTGCTAATCAATCTGGGATTTACCCAAAAAACTATATCGGCAATGCGTTCCTATTTCTTTAAAAAAAAATCCCGTACCGAATACGAGACGAGCCTGTGTTATAAATGAAAAGATATACATTCTGCGAAGCCAAATGCAGATCCGAATCGATCCGTATTTTGTATTCTTGGTCTCATCACCGAAGTCTTTCTTTTATCAACTGCACTATCTGAGTCGAACGTATCCATATATCTGAAAAGCAACTTTATATATAAAGGTCCATCTACTCACATGCGAATGCAACACACACACAGCGCAGAGTAGCGCAGCGCAGCAGAGCAGAGTAACGCAGAGCGCAGACACGAACAGCGAATGCTTAAGTCGCACGCAATACCGCCTGTAGAGGGCTTCCAGTTCCAGCTCTGTGCCCTCCTCCTCTGTGGACAACGCGAACGAATTGAAAAGGACTCTTGACACACTGTTTTGTTACCTTCTAACCTTCTTTTCGCGCCGTGAGGTCATCGGCCACTAAGCTTAGTTGGTAAAGAGTCTGGGTGCGAAACCAAAAGGTGCAGTTTCGAATCCCGCCGAAAGTTTATCTTTAAAAGTTTACAATTTAAAGCTATCAAATTGAAAATTTTGCTCAATCTATACAATTCAAGTAAAAACTCTTTATATTCTAGATTGTTTTTGTCATCTACTATCATATCAGGTTAAATATAAAAAATTTAACTTTTTATCATCTTGACAGAAACCTCGTGTGTCGTAAATTCATCCATATACAGATATATAAGTGTTTCAATTTAATCGCCGTTCAGAATAATGATGAACCATTATTGTGTAGCACTAATTTCTATTAACAGTCTGTAAATTTATTTAACAAGATCTTTAGTAAATTAATGTAGCATGGTAATAAAGGCCTTACTATTCTTTAAAATAACTTAACATGATAAGTTTAGTACCGCCAATGAGTTGGCTCGACTTAAGATTAATATCATAAATAATGGCCTTTTAATCGAGGAACGAATTCACCACAATCGGCTCATGTGGTGGAAATAAAATTACCCAAATACCTTTTACATAAAGAGCAAACATGGTCCTTTATAGAGGAAAGTTGTGCAGTGTTTGTGGACTTTCAGAAATTCCGCTCAATGTATGGAGAGAGAATTTTGAAATAGTCTTAATAAATTAAAAGATTGTAAGAATGAGTGTAATTATCCTTGCAAAAGAACACCGATTCCTCCCAAGGATGATTCGCGAGGCTATTGAAATTAAAAAACACCCTATTTCAATAGAGAAGAAGGTTGGGTACTACCATCAGCTTGGGATCCTGTCATCAATAAAATTAAATCTAGGCCCAAACGTACCACTACTGCAAGACAAGATACAATTAGCTCCCTCTGCATAGATCGGACACAAAATTAATAATTAAAAAACTGACGGTAGCCCGAGTTAACTATGACAATCAGACGTCTAACACCTCAGTCTGCCCGTGACCATGAACGCTGTAAAGGGTTCGAAACGTCGGGAATTAAAATTAAAAATAAACGCGATAAATCCGTAAAATTAGTTTCATTTATAATGTGTAATCGCGTAAATACAAGAAATTATCATGAGTGTAAGAATGTACCCTTCAGGGTACGGCTGTAGCGAAAACTTTCCACAAATGCTACAACTCATTGTGCCATCATTACATGATTTTATCAAGAAGGTACGTAAAAATATAAGTATTGTTAATACGAAACCAAAGGAAACGAACATGGGGCAGTACGTGACAGATTATCAACTATTACAAACATAGATAGGGGTATAAATTTGTAATAATTGATAATTACTAAATACTCAGTATAATAATTATTTTATAGACAAAGAATAGATAAAGTGCTGTGCGGCAGATCAAAGACTATTCAACGCAATAATTTCCCTGACGCGCTAAAAGCTTTCCAACAGAATGACACTAATCTGGAGACGGACGGGGATCAGAAGCATACTTGAAAGGTTAAAGGACAACCACAGCGGAGCAGTTTCTGTTGATGTACATTAAATTACTGTAATTCAACGAAAGTTTTTGGTGTAGACGTTGAAAGACCAAAATAAGATGCCTCCTTTATAAATGTACAGAAAAACCTCTGGTGAAATACTGTATATCCCGCCAGTAGTTATTTCTAATCACGTACGAAGTACGTACAAATAAACTAATGCTAATACCTAAACGTCTATTTTAATGTCACAAACGGCTTATTCTGCCATTATATTTAAAACATAGATGAGTGTGAGAGAGTCCATAATGCGCGGCGTTTAAAAATCGTTTCGCTTTACATTTATATGACATATAATAAGTCAACGTGACAGGTGATATAGAACGTGATACGGAAAGAGATAACAATCTATAGAATTAAACCAATTGGCGTAATTTGAGCGCCACACTTTCGATGCGCTAGTATCATATCAATATATTTTGGTTATAACCATTGCTTGTTTTGACTCAATTTCAGTTTGGGAACAACTGAATGTTATATACATGCTGTTTTATATAGTAAACTGCGAGACATACGGCCAGTGTCTGCGAAACAGGCATACAATAAAACATGAACCATCCAAATTATGACCGTAATTTATAAATTTACTTTAGCATTTGTCAGTATGCGAAATAATCTTTGTCGTTTTTCGACGCACTGTTTTGACTCTGTTTTTTTGCGCACTTCGGAAACCAAATTAATAAGAACTTGCTCTAAGATAATCAGAAGTTATGATACAAATATTATCATCAGATAAAAATGGAATCCGGATAAGGTATTTAAGCTACTACGCTCAGTCTTTTCTTTGCCCAACGACTTTTATTCGTTGAATCAAGAAGTCAAGAACGTTAAGAGTTATTATTTAATTAACTTTATTACTTATAGCTGCTATGATAAATCATGACCTTTTATTTTGAACATAGAATGACATAACAGTTTTAATTTTAAAATTTGTCACAATGTTACGCTACACAGTAGTTTCTATATTTTGATAACTACAACGTCCGTAACAACCCAATGCGCGACAAAAACTCATTAACATAGCAAGATTAATAGACGAGGAAACTATTCAGATCCCAACAAATAACGTGACAAATCGCTTAAAGTAGGTACATTATCCGACACTGTCCCGAATTCCACGAGACCACCGAAAATAGAGACGTGACCACATTATCGCTGGAGTTCGAACATTCCGGCGGCGGTGGTTAGGCTCTTGAAATTCTTAAAACCCCGCAGATTCGAAATATTCACAAATTATCAGTAAAATTATTCATTCTACAACAAAGCATCGGTCCTATCTTTGTTTTATAGCTTACTAGCTGCCCGCGACTACGTCTGCGTAGAATAGGCTGAAGGCGTAACATTCACACAGAAAGACAGATATAGGTACATAAAATATGTATATAAATTATATCTTATTCTGATGTATGAGCTACATTATGGTAGTTTCGTTAAAATCCATTCAGTGGTATTTGCGTGAAAGAGTAACGAACATCCATCCATACATAAAAACTTTCGCCTTTATAATATTAGTAGGGACTGGCGACTAATAACAGTTGTAGTTGGGAAAGTGGATGGCAATAGAATGCCTGGGCGATCACCTACCCGTTGGTCTGATCAAGTGAAACTTGTAACCGGGCTTCCTGTTTGCACTGCTTTGAAGAAGGCCGAAGACAGAATGTGTGGAAGCAGCTCATCGGCGATTCTCTCAAAATTTTTCAGACAGTTGAAATTCTATTCACAGATTACGTACTTCAATTGCCGCTATAAAAACAAATACTAAACAGAATAAAAAAACAAACAATTTTGCTGTTTTTATAGATAATGGTAACCCTTCGTGCGCGAGTCCGACTAGCACTTGGCCGGCTTTATGAAATCACGCTATACAGGGCAATTTTGGTCTACGTGAAATGCACAATGTACCTAATGTTAATTAATTGGGTAAGGAAAAATATTGTATTGTTTAAAATAGCTTGGTAAATAACCGAATTTTTTTTGTAATATGTTAAAGATAAAAATGGTTATAGTAACGAGGACTATTTGTCTATATTTTTAAAATATACTAATCCGTAGTATACATTAATTTGATCTATTTCTTAAGTTTTAGTCTAGCCACAAAAATATATTTGTTACACATCCCATTACAAATCTTTGAATTTCTTCGCTTTTCTCTGTTATCATATGCATGTATACTACACATAACCCTTTCGCTTGAATTACTCTATCTATTGCTGAAAATTTCATTAAAATCCGTCGCGTAGTCTAAAAGATCTAAGCGTGCGATCGGAGCATCGGGAGCGATTTTTTTTTATAATATGTAATGATAAAGATAAATTAAAGTACAGTCAAGACAAATATCTCCTTTAAAACAATCAAAAGATCATCACTTAAAGAAGCAATTTTCGTACTAATAGACAGACTAATACTACATACTTGTACTTTAGGTACAACTAACTGACACTATACTATTCCTAATTAACCAATATTAGGCATTGGAATGAATCGAAATTTTTAAGTTTAATTTAAAATAAGTAATTAAAAAATACATTAGCGTCCACCTGTTCAGTTATTAATTTCTGATATTAAAACTCTTTTTGACAATATATAAAGTTCTCAAAGATTTTATCTTTCTTTGTAATGCTACAATAGAATAAAACATAAAAAGTTTGTTTGTTCTAAGCCGGCTTTAGCTAATAATTATTATAACATCATTAACAATTCAATATTCATCGCAGAAGAGATATATGTAAACTGAAATAGTCGCTTAATTATTTGCTTAAAAGGGAAGATAAGATAATGTATATTTGGCTTGCTGTATTTATCCTAAAACAGTACCCCAAACTTGGGTAATATCGGCCCAAAGATGTACGAAAACGCGGTATTTGGGAAGTTTTTGGTTCAGTTTAGTAGGTAAATGTTGATTCAGCCAAGTCTATCTCTCCCATGCCAAGTGGTAAGTTCGTCAGAATTTCATGATATATTCAAGATTGATGCGGTCTTAATTCATTATAAACTGACATTACCCGGCATGCGTCTTGATGGAGTATTGAAAAAGGTGTTGACAACATTTTCTTACCTCCTTCCATTGAAGAAAACGTATAAATTTTATTTAAAAAAATATATTTCTCTTTTTGGCCAGAAACCTTCACAGACACTCACTAAAGTTTTATCATATCTTTAATTAATGGTTTAAGAACGTATAGAGGACAAACGTGCAAATATTTATTTCAATTTAAAACACGTTTTACTGACAAGCAAAGGAGAACTATCTAGTGTTAATTGATTTATGCGTATTGTAACTTACTGTATTGCACCGGAAGCGAATCAAGAAGTTTGTAAGTTAGTAATCTCCAATAACGTGTACAGTGCACAGAATATGCCGTATTATATTTAGAAGGCCATGTATTTTAGTAAGTTCA